GTAAGAAAAAAAAAAAAAAGAAAAGAAAATGGTATGAAGATATGCAACTAATTCAGTTATACGCAAAACAATAAAAAAAAACTGACAGATGGGATAGGATCGCTCTGCTGTAGGCATTGATAAACTTTTTTTTTTTTTTTTTTTTTTTGTTTTGGGTGGGTGTGTGTGTGTTCCAATACAGCTTTTTTATTTTTACGAAAATTTCGGAAACTTAAAAAAAAAAAAAAAAAACACATGTTGATATATATACATGTATTGTTTTATTTTTGTTTTTTTTTCTTTGTTTTACTTCTTCACAAACCCAAACTCAGGTAGTTTTCTCCATGTATAGGTTTTTGTGATGATGACTGGGTTTTTAGAGACATCTTTTTATCTGTTTCTTTTGTTTTTTTTGTTTGGCTGGAGCATTTTTCATGTGAATGCTCTAGTAGAGGATGGGGATAAGCTCATCCACTCGCGGAATGCTACCGTCGGCGAATTTCCAACCGGTGTAAGCTTATGCCCCAGGGCTGCACCGATATATTGTGCCTTTCCGGGAATGTTGGGCTACTATTGCGTACGTGCCGGAGAAAAGTGTTGCAACGCTTTTGAAGGGGGTGGAATTGGATGTCAACAGGGAGAGATGTGCTGTCCAGGCGTTTACAAAGCATCTTGTTGTGGATTTTCGGAAACTTGTGGCATTGATGCGAGTAATCGATCTCTGTGTGTAAAGGATCGTTGTGCAGTTCACTCTGACGTTGATAGTTGTTTGACTGACCAAGGTGAAATGGGGTGTCGTTGGTGTTGCGCAGAGAGGCGTTGTGTTTCTTCAATACATCAATGCATCAATGAAAAACCTATTACTAAAGGCGAAATTTGCTATTCGCCATGTCAATACGCTGATACTTGTCGTCGATGCCTTAGAGGCGCCATAAGTAATAATAGCCATAGCGTTTCATGTGTGTGGTGCTGTAGCACCCAGAGTTGCATTCCCAGATCAGAAATATCCAATTGCGCACAAGACCAGTTCTTCTTGAAGTTGGTAGATTGCGACGAATGTCTAGAAGGAGGCCGTGGTGTTTTATTTTGGCTACAATATGCTGCAATCTCTTCCCTTCCGTCAGCTGTCATTGTGTTACTTGTTGGAGCTGCTACCATCGGTCTCGCTCTGCCCTATGCGATGCGCTGTTCGATACTGAGACGTCAACAACCTGTTGTGGACGATGCTCGCATCCATGCACCAGAAACAAGAGGTTCATC